ACTCTCAATAAGAACAATTTGCTCCCGGACGACCGCACCAACTTTTACCCGCTGCAGCAAACCAACGTCTACACCACGACGTACTACCCCAGCACGCTGAGCAAATACGATTTCAGGCCGGATTCCTCCCCGGGCAGGACTTTCACCAACAGCTGAGGTTTGGTCCCCGATGGAAATCCCAACTTCTCGCTGAGGCTCCATCTCTCACCCCCGTCTCACGCTCCATAAACCCGCCGCCCAGCTCCTTCCATCACCGAACGAGTCGGGCAAGCTCTCAGACCGGACCTGCTGATCCTCCTTTTTGCCGCCGCCACCGCGCTGGAGGAACGCCCCCATCTTCCCCCCCCCGTCCTAGGTCGGGTGAGGAGTAGACTCCGAGGTTGTCTTGGATACTTGAAAACGAGCAAGCTGCTTCTGCGTTACACACCCCATCGGAACATATAGATTGTTTTTTTTTTATCTCTTTGGTGATTTGTGGAATCATTTTTGGGTGATTTTTTCTTGTCGGAGGAGAAAACCGACGAATGGCTTCATCGCTTGCATTACCGGCTCCCGCTCAGCGCGACAGCGAGGCTTCAATCCTCTTTCCTTGCCTGGCAGTATTTCTGACGACCAACAGCCTCAAAAAAAAAACCTGTCTACAACAACACCCAATCAATGCTAAAAAAAAACAAAAACAAGGAGGGCCTAAAAACAAAAACACACAAAAAACTTTTTGAAAAAAAGACATGTCCTGTGCATGTCGACGGAATAGGGAGGGTAACGGGATTAACACGTAGAGACTATTCCATACGCCGCCTCTAACACCATCTCGGGATTTTATATTAGGATTAAGTACTAGTTCCATTGAACGCGGCCTCCTGCTCCCGAAGCGACGCTAAAGACGATCTCCGCGGGCCCGGTCGGGGCCACGCGGTTATAAACCTGACCCGGGGGGGATTTTTTTTTCTTGCACCCAAGGTCAAGTTTGTGTTCCTCATCGGCAGAAGGACCTCACTGGTCTTGGTTTTGTCCTCTGTCCGTCGCTAACGTAACTCTTTTTTTTTTTTAATATCAGGGTTTTAGGAAAAGTAAAAAAAATAAAAAGAAGTTGGACTTCTCAAAGTGAAGGACGCACCGTCACGTCGAGTGCGCATGGAACGGCCGTGATCGACTATAACACACCGCCCCCACACACCGCCGGGAGCAGGTGTGTCCGTGGCGTGGCGGGCCAACCGCAGGGCTACGCTTTTAAG